TCTGCGGGGGGTACCGGCAGCACCCACCGCCCCCCGCGCCGTCGTTTTGGGGGTGCCCCAGGGAGGGGAGAAGCACTACGGGGGGTGGGGGGCTAAAGGCTGATGCTTCGGTGATGTTTGAAGTGCCCCTGCCCGCCCCGGCGTTGCTCCCGTTCCTCCAGCTCGTCGCTGTTGAGGCTGGTAGCGTCCGACAAGCCCAATAAATGTTCGACCGAGTCGAACTTCTGCAGGTCGGAGGCGATGGTTTGAAGGCTGAGCACCGAAAGCGTGTCGGCCGGGGGGCACTCGGCCCCCAAATGTGTCCCTCCTCCTGTCACCCCGCTCCAGCACCGTCACCTTGGCCTTGTGCTCCTGCCAGGAGGTGGCACCGGCCACCGCGGCCATCTCCGCATTCCCCCATCCCCCTTCCCAAAGCGCCAGCCAGGCGGATCCCACCAGCTCCACCCCCAAAAACTGACCGAAAACAGCAGGATCCTCCCCCAAAACGAGGTCCTTGTGCCCCCCACCAGCCTGAGGGGCCCCACCGCAAGCGGCCAGAGCCTGTCACCCGTCCCCAAGTACCTCAAGGATCTGGTTGAACTGGGCTTTCAGCTCAAAGTAAGGCTTGCTCTTAACGATGACGCGCTTGAGGGACTTCTGGAGGGCCTGGACCTTGGCCTCGGCTTGCTGACACAGCTGGGTGACGCGCTGGTGCTCCCGCTCGCTCCGCAGCCGCTCCTCCTCCGCCTCGTTGACCTAAAACCACCCCAAAACCCCTTCAGAAGCGGGGTTCCTCCCCCCCCCGCCCCACCATCCCCATTCCCATCATCCCCAACATCCAACTGCTTCTTCCCAGGCTCCATCCCACCCCTCCTGGGGATGAAGATCCCCCCTGCCGCCCCCATACTTTGCAGGTAGCGTGGTTGAGCATCTCCTGCCAGGTGGGATCCAAGCGGTTCTTGTCAGCCATGACCCCCTGCTCTGCCACGAAGACCATCTCGCGAGCGGCGTTGTGCATGCTGACGGCTCGCTCGTACCTCAAGGCCGCCTTCTGCGTCTCCTGCTGAGCCTGCACGGCGAGCGGGAAGGGGGTCACCACGAAAATTAAAAACCCCCAAGACACCCCCGCCCCACCATCCGTGCCCCTGGGGGATGCCGGTACCTCCTTGGCGAGGCGCCGGGCTTCGTAGTAGGGTCGAGCTTTCTCGATGCAGTTGCCCAACTGGGAGCCTTGGGCATTGAGCTTCCTCGCCGATTCGGAAAGGATCCGGCGATAGGCGGTGCGGGCCTCCTGGAGGGGAGGGGCACAGCAAGGGCTCAGCCCCGTGTCCTCCTGTCCCTCGTCGCACCCACGGTGACCCCCTCAGCTGCAGGGCTTTCCCCCCCAACCATCCCACCGAGCCCAAAACCCAGCAGGGACCAGCACGAAGGTGACCAGTTAAGGATGGGGGGGACCAGTTAAGGACCAGGAACAAGGACGGGGGATCAAGGGCTGGAGGAGGGACCAGATAAGGGCTGGGGAACAAGGACTGAGGGGGGACCAGTTAGGGACTGGGGATCAAGCACTGGTGGGGGGACATCAGTTAAGGACCGGGGGACCAGTTAAGGGCTGGGGGGAGCACCAATTAGGGACTGGGGAACAAGGACGGGGGTGACACCAGTTAGGGACTGGGGGACCAGTTAAGGGTTGGGAGGGGACACCAGTTAGGGACTGGGGGACAAAGACTGAGGGGGGACACCAGTTAGGGACTAGGGGACCAGTTAAGGGCTGCGAACAAAGACTGGGGGGAA